CTTTAACCTTCTTGGTTTACTTCCGTTTATTTTACTTGCGATTAATTCTTACTTCCATTAACATTCTTCCAATTCATTCTTGTTTAATTCTGTTTATCCGATACATTCTTTCATCGCTTACTTTACTTCCGTAAAATTCTTTGGAGAGTTAGAGTCCACTATCTCTAATTCTCTAAAAATTTTAATCCGTCGAGCAATATTATTGTTTTCCTGGTTTTCATAGCCGCCATCTTGGTTCAAAGATGGCCACCATGTTTTTTGTTACTTTATTTTCTCGAAACGATTGCGCTCGAACTACATATTTTTCATACGAAGATTTTTTATTTACAAAAAAAGAAACTTTTGCTTTCATTTTTTTTTTCTTTTCTTTATTTAACGTCAATTTTGTTTTATTTATTTTCATTTTGTTATGTATATCAGTGTAACATGTTTTCGTCACGGTAAGCTATCGTTTTTGCTACTTTCCATGACAAAAAACGTTTCAAAAAACGTCGGTCAGAGATCTGAAATCTCAGACCCAGTAGCACGTTGCAAATTGAAATAGACTCACAGCCGAACAGCTTATATATAGTTTCATTTTAGATTGGAATATGAGGCATGAGCTTTGTGTTAGAAATGTGATTTTTCGTATTGTAGCAAGAAAATATAAAAGAACAAAAATTCGGTTTAGTCTCAGATCGCCCATTTCAGATCTCGAATTGGCAACGCTTTTGAAATAGGTATATAAAGTCTTGGGGAAGAGCGCATGTAAGCGTAGTTCTACAGTTTGTAGGCCATAAGGTCGGTGATTTGCTGACCATGTTGAAGTCGTTTTTCCATCTGGACTAATAAACTAACACCATCGATCACTTTCTGGACGAGTTCAACCTGGAATAATGAAAGGAAGAGTTGGTCAAGTGATGGAAAAGTAAAGACCTGCAAATGAGAGCAGCAAAGGAAGTGGTATTGAGACAAATACAGGTTGAAAACATCCATCGATTGTAATGGAAAACTCCAAAAAGAAGCACATCTTATTCAAAAGAGGATTGCATTTGGAAAACAGGAGAAGCAAAGAAAAAGGGCTCTACAGGTCAGTTTAGATTACCAGCGTTAATGAAGGTAAAATACAGGTCCCAGTGATAAGCTCTGGGGAAATCCAATGTTGACGATATAAATTCCCATTTCCAGTGAAAATCCCTGTTTAGAGATTTCCCCTACAAGACTTTCTCTGTTAGTTTAGAGCTGATTTTTACCTCAGTGTGTCCAAGTCGGTCTGCGTTTGAGATCTCAAATATGTTGTCCTTGACGGGGCTCACTGATCCTTCTACGAATTGAGAAACAAATATTTTACATAGTAAAAAGGTGCCCTATTTTGGAACACTAAAAAATTGCTGCACGCGAAGGTTGAACCGACTTCGGGTTATATTTGCAATTCATTTGTTGCCTGATTACACCTCATTCGTTTTCGTGCAATATGTACTCATTAACAGATCAGGGAACAGGGCCCGGTTGTACGAAGGGTGGATAGCGCTATCCGACGGATAAATCTTATCCAGTGAATAAATTGATGGCATAACAGCATCAACTTATCCACTGGATAAGGACTTATCCTCCGAATAGAGCTATCTACCTTACAACTGAGCCTAGTTGTCATTCTCTTGAGAAAAATATTCTTTGTTTGAGTTGTATTCATATTCATGTGTCTTCTCATGTGCAACTTTTAAACAAACAAAAAATGATACTCTAGGGAATGACATGTTGTCTAAGATGGGGAAACATTTTACCACAACGAATAAGTTACATAGGCGCACATTTCTAGGTGCAGAACTTGAAATGCGATGATATCACAAAATGACTTACCGCTTCCCCTCTTTTGTAGCCGCAGATCACTCAAAATGGCTGGAAACTTTGGATCCTAACGAACCAACGTCGAAATTTTCATGTGTTAAAAAAGAGAAAGATTTCAAAGGTATTTAGGATTGATAGTAATTGATTCCCGTAATCCCTCCCGAACCCTCCGAACCCTCCAAAAAAACGATTGCGCAAACTCGTATTCAGTGCGCTTTTAATGGCAACCTCTCACTAAGTGCTCTGGGAATCGATCCCAAGATCCACTATAAGAATAGACCCCGTGCATGTGACGTCAAGCTCAATTTGGAGGACAAAGCAAACAAATTTCTATATACTGAGAATTGAAATCCCTTTGTTTTGCCCTTCAAATTGAGCTGCATTCCAAAATTCTGAAAGGGGTTTATAGAGTCGTTTGTTGGTTTTCTCCTGCTCTTCATTGGTTTTTCTTCCTTACATAAATATAACAATTTTTTCACGTTTTTGATAATGAATCGAGTACCATAGTTTTTTAGCGTCAGTAGTGTTACCTTCGTAAGACGAGAGCGATCTTTATATTTTCATAAATAGAACTTTTGCATGATGGCGTCATTTGACTCCTACTACACCAGAATACCTGGCACACTTTCTTTTGTTCAGTTAATTAGCACCAATTGTCTTACTATTCTCCGATGAGGGAATACTAATTTGAATAAGAAAGAAAATTCGCCAAGCATTATGGTAGTGCTAGTGAAATGACGCCTTCATGTAAACGTACTATTGGTTTATTTTTAACTTTGTTTACCTTTCCAAGATTCGGTAGTCTGACCAAAGCGCTAACTCTGAGTCCCGTCCCGAGGTTACTCGGACACGTCGTTATATTCCCCAGATGTTTATTGCGCATGAACGATACGCCGCTGCCCTCTACACTTTTTTCAATCTCTTTCAGCCCTAAGTAGAATCTTTCGTACAGTTTTTCCATATCCCCGCCCGTTTCCATGGCAATAATCTTGATGTGGTCCTCTTCGTTGACGCGAACAGTGAAACACTTGCCTTTGGTGTACCAAATGCCACGCGCATCCGGCCAGTCACGTGAGAGACCGCTACTTGTGAACAGTGGGCTCGTGGGTTTATCGAAGAGGGTGCCCTCGGTGATTAGGAGACTGCGGTCTTCGGCGGTAAGGGAAGAGATGGCATAGTAGTGGCCTTCCATGTCACCTAGTCATATGATTAGAATATATATTTGTAGCAATTCTATTGTTCAGATTCCTACTTTTGATTGGCTAATTTGTAGAACATTTGTTGGAGTAGTCGCACTTTAATTGGTCAAACAAATGGATAGAAATAATTTTGAAGTAAGGTTGAAAACAAGAGTAAGACCCCATCGTTTTGGTTTTTATAAACTGGCTCTATTCCTTAAATATTTAGACACTGAAATGAGCCTGAGTAAATGAGTCTGTAATCAAGGAACACAGCGGTTATTTGGAACTCGCAAAAGTTTCATCCGATATACACTTACCTTTCATTGTACCAAGGACATTCTTCAGTATCGATTCTATGGCTCGCCTCTCTCTTCTGCTACAAAATGAAGGAAGCCTAAACCCTTTCAGAGATCTACACGCTCTTATTCGACATGAAATCACAAAATTTTCATCTAGCTTCCCGTGTTTCAGTTTAGCCGGGTCCATATCAGACACGTGGGCGGACGTCTTTTTGTAGCCATTGTGTCGTTCCTCAATGATTCGATCAAAAAGTTCTGCAAAAACGTGATACGATTCCTCGTCTCCTGCCACAATCCCGACGGAACAAATATGTGGATGATGTGGATTGTCCACTCCAGTTTGGATCGCTTGATCCAACGTGAAACCATTCCGAGTTTTCCGGTTTATAAGCTTCACATACAAATCAGGGGTCAGGTGTTTGGCCATTAGGTTCGAGTGGTTCCAGAGAGACGGGTAGTTCGCCAAGGCGTCTTCTTTAGGTATATATTCATACTTGCTTCTCGCTCTTCTACCGGCGTATAAGAGCAAAACTACCGTTGCAATAGCTCCGCCGGCGGCGGTGATCCGTCGATCCTTCAGGCGATTGATTAATAATTCTAAACATTCTTTCGCCTCTTCCCAAACGTCTGGTGTACAGATGTTTTTCAAAAGATCAGCCATCAATAGTTTCAGTAAAGTTGTCACGAGTATTACGTCATCAAAGGGGAGTTAAAAGCGCGCGCTGTATTACCCAAGATACACTTCGTGTCATGATTATTACGTCATACAAGGGCGAGCACAATTTTACCCAAAATTCCTCGAGCTATGTGTTTATTACGTAATGAAACAGAATTGAGGAATGAGCACTCTACTTATGTAAACGTTTCTAAAATTTCCAATTAACAGGCCTCATTCGGTGCAATGTTTTCCAATACAGACTACGTATCATTCCCTAGAATATCATTTCTTTATTTGATGGTTGCGCATGAGAAGACACATGAATATTTATTAGTTTCAGGGTCCGTGAGGATCTGGGACCGATATTTGGTGGAAGCCCAAATATTACAATCGAATTTAGAACTTGATTTTTGCGAAGCAAGAAAAATAGCAAACAACTAGAAGAAAAACCAATGAAGCAAAGGAGAAAAAACAAATAATTCTACTCACATGTGATGGCAGGTTAGAGGATTAAACCCATAAATACAGCAACCATACTGATAGCAAGGGTGAGGGTTCAAAAATCCGCCTTTTTGTTCGGAACACCGAACCAAAAAAAATTTCTTAAAAACCGGCATTACGTTTTATTATTATTATTATTATTATTATTATTATTATTATTATTA